ATCACTAAATTCTATTCCTGAAATCATTGTTATACTATATGTTAACTTAGATTTAAATAAATATAAGAAAGATAAAGCTGCTTTGCTTTACATTGTTTAATTTTCCAGTCCCTAAACTAACATACCTTTAGTAATTAAACATAATCTCATTTTTTTTTCACCTACCTCTACTCCTCTACTCTTCTGAGAGGCAGCACTAATAATGTTCGCAAAGAAAATTCAGCCCATGGTAAGCACTAAGGTATGTACTACTCTCCCTTAGTTCAAAGGAAAGAACAATCTTTAGACTAAGCCACATGACCAGCCCACTTTATCAAAGAGCTCTCTACTGTGAAGTAAGGCAAAATCCAGCTTTTAATAATAAGAAATCCTGACTTCCCACCCCTATTATCCCCAGAGCAACTATCCCCTTAGATCCTCATGGGAGGTTGAGAAGCAGGCCCAGCTGGGTCCTCTGTTTCAAAAACTATGTAGTGACACCATATATAGATCACTAACATAAATCAATTAAAGGGTGGTACACCACACAGAATCACCAAAGACTAATAATGAATTCTTTTCTTCAAAGATGATAGAAGCTTTTGATCTCACTCTATATAAAATACATTTTGGGGAGGAAAGCTCATGATTTTCCTCCTGGAAGGCTCCAGTAATAAAGAAGGAGCTCTTAAGCCAAACCTAGTGTCAGTGTTCACAATGAAAACTGTTTTTTCTGATCTCTTCCTTCCCCCACTCCCCCACCCCACCTGTCATTGAATGCTCCGCCCATCAATTTTCCAAGGCACTGAACCATCGTCTCCTGGAGAGTAATGCAGAAGATAAGCAGCTAATTCTAAAGTCATTCCTCCTATTAACTCTGATTTATCTTCCACTTAAAGTCAACAGGGCCTCTCACGCCAAATGTAATTAAACACACTCCAGAAGCTCACAAACACACCACCTGGACGTGCACACAAGTGCTCCAAAGGCAGAAAGTTACTAGTATTTATTTTGGTTCTCACTTCCTTTGGTGTCATGCTTCATTGTCCATTCGTCGATGGGAAATGATTCCATAGATATTGTTAACTTTGGCCCACTTCCCTCCTCCCCTGGCAACATATCTCTTCCCCACCCCACCCCCACCTTCTGACATCCCGTCCCCACACAATGCATGAACCTTTGAATCTATCACCCAGTGGGAAATGAAAGACCACTTCCCAGTGGGCGGGCGAGACCCACAGAAAGACCCCAGAGATGGGATCATCTGTCTGCCTCAAAGGAATTCTTGTACTCAAACCCACAGGAGACAAGCTCCTTGGAGCCCCACCTTGGCTGGCAGAGAAGCAGCACATCCACACAGACTCTCCCCTGAACAGTCAGCAATGCAAAATCACAGCATGACAAAGGAAATACCAAAGAAAGACCTTCTCCACCTCCCTCTGCCTCCTTCCCCCGTCCTTGTTTTCCTCAGAAAGTAAGAAAAATCTATTTCTATTTCCTACCAGACAACATAAGCTATATGTATTTTTTAAGTAAGTAAAAATGTAACTGCTTCATTTAGTGACAGCTGCATCATTCCAGACTATCTGCTAAATTTAGATGGTTTCCATTCATACAACAAAGCTATTGTTATAGGCTGAATTGTGTTCCCCTACCCCAACAAAAAAACAAAATTATGTTAAAGTCCTAACCCCAGTAGCTCAGAATGTGATTTTATTTGGAACTAGTCTTTATGAAGGTAATCAAGTTAATGTTAGCCAGTAGGCCCTGATATAAAATGAACGGTGTCCTCATAGAAAGGGGATACAGTATTCGGACAGAGAAACACACAGATAGAAGACACCTTTAGAGCACCTTTACAGCAAGGAATGCCGAATACTGCCAGCAAACTACCAGAAGCTAGAAGGAAGGAAAAATCATTTTCCTATAGGTTTCAGAGGGAGCATGGCCCTGCTGACACCTTGATCTTGGACTTCCAGCCTCTACAACTATGAGAACTCAGCACAGGCATGCTGACAGGATGCCTGTTCAGCAAGACAGATATACTCAGACTGATGTGTTACGAGATGCACTGTAGTGTCAGTGTCCAGATCCGACTGGGGAAGGGGGAAGCCCAAGAAAGGATCCAACAAATCAAAGGGAAAATGAAGACCTGCACTGGGGCAGAAGACCAAGGGCAGGAAGGTACAGCACCAAAAAGTATTTACAAGATACATCTCAGAAGATGCAGTGCCTGATGAATGCAGGGAATGAGCTCTCCTCAGCACTAGCTTACTTTCCATTATGAAAACTCAGGGAATGTGGCTTCATTCTCAAGAAGGGAGTAGGTCATTATCTGCAACCCAAAATCTCCAGAACATTTAGTACTTCAATAAGAAAATACAGGCTTCTAGGGCACACACAAGAAAATATGGTTTAGATCCCAGAAGTCTGAATTTTCTTCTTTGGAATACTCAAATTTGCTTCTTTTTCTGAAGGTCAATAACATCCTAGTACTTGAGGTTACTTTGTAAGAAACAAATGAACATAGTCAATATGCACAGAGGTCCCTTGAAAGGCTGGAAACCAACTACAACCCTGACTACAACCAACGCAAAATATGAATATCCACACCAGGTGCCCCAGCAATTTAGTTCAGTAAATTTCCTGCTGGTTTCCTTTCCACCTGTAAGCAATCAAATACTGTTTCGTACAGACTAACAACCAGACCATTCCAGTTCTGCCAGGTAGCAGATGTCACCTTAGGGAATAAATGTGCTTCCATTTCCCCATCTGAAAACAGATATAAAGCAGCAATTACCTACCCTCAGAGATAGTATAAGGGTTGGACGGCCGTATGGGGGTGAAGTGATTCTTAGTGTACGACACAGTTTGACCTAATCCTCAATTGTTATTTCATGGTCTTCTGTACAACCTCAGCCAGGGGTTCAAACTTAAATGTGTGACACAATCGCCATAGAGGGTTGGTAAAATAGGGATTACTGGGCCCCACCCCCAATTTTGGGGTCTCGGCTAGAGCCCGAGAGTCTGCATTTCGAAGACTTTGACAACCACTGATCTAATCGGTGGTGTTTTGATCAATCTCTCCCACTATCCATAGCTCCTGAAGCACTGACCAGCCCATAAACTGGTGGGTCGAGAAACAAGAACTTCTGTAAAAGGAGTGAACATGCCAATTCGACATCCAGCCTCTCAACCACTCATTTAATTTCACTTTGGGCAAGTTCCTATCACTTTCTCTTCATTCTAATAAGGGGCCAGAAATCGTTGCTTATTAGCTCTCCAGGTGCCTCAGGGCACGGCCTACGAAACATCTGCAAACCGCAAAGGTTTTCCACTCTTTACATCCCTCGGGCACTTCCCCATATCCTCCCTCCTGTCCAACCTGCTACTGCACTGCTTGCTACCTTGGCGACCTCTCTACTACATCCATCTTGCTTCCCAAATGACGCTTTGAACTCCTCAGACACAGCAGCGGGGTCTTCAGCCCTTTCCCTGGTATTCAGGAGGTAAACGCTTTCAGATTCACCAAGACTTTTTAGATTAAAACAGGCAGGCCCTGTTAATATTGGCACTTGTCGCATGCGCTCATCGGAGGAGACCCTGGGTGACTGAAGCTTAGATATTCCTCTATCTTAGAATAAAAAAGTAATTGCTACCTGTGTGCCATTTAGGTTAGCTCCATTCTAAGCATCATACATGAGGAAGCTGATTCCTCTTAACATCTTTATAGGATAGGTGGTATTATTTTACTCCTTTTGCAGATGAGGAAACTAAGGCTCAGAGAACTAAGTAACCCAAGAACACACAGCTAGAATGGCTGGGCTGAGATTTCAGTTTGAGCAGTCTGGCTCTGGAGCCCTTACCAGTGATGTTTTACTGCCTCTCAAACACTCAAGATATGGATATACTACAAATGGGAGTCAGGAACTAGAAGGATTGTTCCTTGCAGGTTTCTTTAAAAAAAAAAAAAGAAAAAAAAAAAGAGGAAAAGGAAAAGGAAGAGGAGGAGGAGGAAGAGGAAAGCCCACCTAGATCAGCAGTCATCAGGCCAAGTCCAGCCTTAGCTGGGCTGAAACCCACACATTCATGAGAAATCAATGTCTACTGCTCCAAGAGGTTATGTGTTGTTACCCAGCAAAAGCTTACAGACACAGTATCTGATTCACGAGGAACACCTACTGGGAGATACAAGGGGACAACAAGAACAACAAAAACACCTCAAAGAAGTAAAATAAGCCAATTAAAACCTAAGACATCAAAAGCAAGCAATTGTCAGGGAGCCTGGGTGGCTCGGTCGGTTAAGCGTCCGACTTTGGCTCAGGTCATGATCTCATGGTCCGTGAGTTCGAGCCCCGCGTCGGGCTCTGTGCTGACAGCTCAGAGCCTGGAGCCTGTTTCAGATTCTGTGTCTCCCTCTCTCTCTGCCCCTCTCCTGTTCATGCTCTGTCTCTCTCTGTCTCAAAAATAAATAAATGTTAAAAAAAAAAAAATTTTTTTTTTAAAAAAGCAAGCAATTGTAGAATAGTATCATTGTGCACCTAAGGACTATTACAATCACTGTTGTTTTCCTCTAGAAATTCTGGTAAAATCAATTAAAAAACACCCAATGCTAATTCTGTGACAGCATTTGAATGCCTGCCCAGACCACAGGAAATAGGCTTCAGTAAACCTTTCGCTGAAAAGCTGGCTTTAACACCTCTGTGTCCTAAGCAAGGAAATCAATAAGCTCATTTTCTCTGTAGGATGGCCTCCCCCACGACACAGACTGCAAAAACAAGGGGATTTTGACAGGAGACCGTGATAGAGACCACTACTAGACAGGAAGCTGGCTCTCAAGTTTCCAATATTCACATAAGAAGACTGAGGTAATTAAGGATATTAAAGGGGCGCCTGGGTGGCGCAGTCGGTTAAGCATCCGACTTCAGCCAGGTCACGATCTCGCGGTCCGTGAGTTCAAGCCCCGCGTCAGGCTCTGGGCTGATGGCTCAGAGCCTGGAGCCTGTTTCCAGTTCTGTGTCTCCCTCTCTCTCTGCCCCTCGCCCGTTCATGCTCTGTCTCTCTCTGTCCTAAAAATAAATAAACGTTGAAAAAAAAAATAAAAAAAAAATAAAAAAAAAAGAATTTGCCAGGGGTGCCTGGGTGGCTCAGTCACTTGAGCGTCTGATTTTGCTCAGATCATGATCTCACAGTTCGGGAGTTCGAGTTTCACATCAGGCTCACTGCTGTCAGCCTATCAGTGCAGAGCCCACTTTGGATCCTCTGTCCCCCTCTTTCTGCCCTTTCCCCACTTGCGCTCTTGCAAAAATAATTATTTTTTAAAAAGAAGAATTTGCCAGATGAGGTGGCTGAGAAGGAAAGCTCAAAATCCTAGTTCCAATACAGTAAAAAAAAAAAAAAATCTAAGTATCAGATTCCAAAGCCACCAGAGTCTGATAAAACTATTACCAAGTTCACATCCCTAAAAAGCATCCCAAAATTTTATGAATTAGAAATGGAGCACAGAACACTCTTTACTAAAACAAGTGGTTATTTTCTCTCCGTTTCTTATAGTTTTATGGTTTGCTTAAGAAAATCACTTTCTGCAATCTAGGTAGGTAAGAGTCTTACTTCTAGAGAGACTCCAGGCTTGGGTCTAAATCAGAGGCTGCATTTTTAGCGAAAAATGCAAGGTCTGCACGAGTTTGAAATCGAGGCCCACGTGTTCTCTCAGTGTTTCCATGACACTTTTGTACTGTGCATTCTGAGTGCAACACAAGGGCAGGGCAGCACTACCACTGCACAAAGCCACACCCATGCTAAGGTGGCCTCAACTAAAGCCAGACTGGTTTGCACACTACAACCTTTCTCTCCCTGCTACTCGGTTATAACCAACTACAGTGAGAAATCACTTTATATAGTACCTTTTAATGCACGGAAGGAGCATGGAGGGGCTTTGAACTCCGCAGACAAAAAGAGGAAAGTATCATGTACATTCCCCTTTTTCCTTGGGCAACTACTACGTTTGGATTATTTGAGGGAGAAAGGAAGGGGGTGGGAGGGTGGAAAGTTAAGGTGTAATCACTACTGTTGGGCAAGATGAACACTCCTCCCCCTGCCCTACTTCCACCTAGAAACCAATTAGCACAACACAGCAGGGCCAGAGGAAGCACTATCACTTCTGCTCAGTTTGCCCAAGAATGGCCACAGGGGACAGTCCAGGGTAGACAGACTGACAAAGCACTGTGACTTAGCAGAAGGCACAGTACCAGGGCTGATCAACCTCTTCGTCAGCAACTTAGAGCATTTTGTAATCTAGGCAGTGGAATGAGGGCTGGAGGTCAAAGTCTGGGTATACCATTAAACCCTGAGCATCTACTTACCGGCTCCACGAATTCAAACATCTTTCTCTCTTGGACTTCCTGCACCTTGAAGACATACTCCAGGGATACTTCATAGAAATGCTGCCGGACCAAGTCCACTTGGCTGTCTGCCTGCAAACAAGACAGAATTTAAGAGGAAAGTCAAGTCACTACGCAAGGAGAGCATTCAGCAAGCAGGCCACAAAATTCCTTGGAGATGGTTTTTATACACAATTCAGACAGCATGAAACAGACCTAAGACTAGTGACAATGTCCTAGGCACCATGTCCTTAGGTATACATATATTATGTGACATTATTCGCTCCTCATTCACTATAGTGACTTAATCCTCATCCAATTCCTAAAAAGAAGATATTCTCATTACCTCTAAGTGACAGGAGGAAAATGATGTCTGCTAACATTAAGGAACCTGAAGCAGCCAGTACAGGGCAGAATTGGGATTTTTGTGCTTGTGGATCTGCCTCCAAGACCCTTGATCATCTTTAAACTAGGAGGCTGTACCGTCTCCCCACACCCAGGGGCAGACCTGGGTTCTAAAGAAGATAGATTTTTAAGGAGAAAAAAAGAAAACCTGCAGGGTTCTCCCCATCCCATTAGGAATGAACAAAACCAGCTGCTGGAGGGCAGGGGCCTTTAGGAAAGGACATTTCCACATGAGTTTCACCTATTTTCTTGTTTGTCAAGGGACAAACTGTCAGTTTACTTCAGCAGAGTAATTACACTATTCCATCTAAGCCTCCTTTCTCCGTCCACGCAGAGGGGGTGCTGCATAGGCCCACACATGTGTACAATCAAACCACTGATGCAGGATATAGACAGCAGGGACGAAAATGAGCCTGGGTAGAATAACAAGATGCTATTAAGTACCTCAACTATCACTGTGAAGTTCATAACATTTCCACACTATTGCTATGCCACCTCACTGTTACAGTGAATGCACATCTCAATGACAAAAAATATTAGTATTTTTTTTAATTTTATCCACTTATTTTTTAGAGAGAGTACGCACGAGCAGGGGGAGGGCAGACGGAGGGGGACAGAGAATCCCAAGCAGGCTATGCACTGTGAGCAGAGAGCCCAACTGGGGCTCAAACTCACAAACTGTGAGATCGTGCCCCTGAGCCGAAATTAAGAGCTGGACACTTAACCTACTGAGCCACCCAGGAGCCCCTTAAGATTTTTTAATAAAAATGAATATCCTGGTAGTGGGAAACAAACATCTGCCTTCTTTAGAAGTGAAGGGGTGAGAAACCATTCTATAACATACTTCACAGAGACAGACAAAGCCCCCAAAGAAATACCTCTTCCAGTGTTCCTTTGTCAAGATCCCTGCAGAGGAAACTGGGGACATATCACCCATTACACCAAATATGACACTGCTATCTTTCTATCTAAAGAACGTGGCAAATCATTCATTCATTCAACCATCATGCACAAAAAGAAATTCCCTTCATGGAACTCACAACATAGGGAAGCAAAGAGATTCTCAATAATTATGTCCATAAACAGAAAATTACAAACCCTGGTAAAGCACAAACAGCCCAATCAACTCTCCTGTGAGCAACTTCCTCCTAGGTCAACATATTAACACATAGAAGCTAATTGGCTAAGTGCTGGGTGGGGACGCAACCAAAACACACACACGCGCGCGCGCACACACACACACACACACACACACACACACACACACACACACACACACAAAGGGCTAAACTTGGGGGTATTTTCTAAGCCTCTAAGCAGGGGAATCTGGTATCTGCGGACTGAGAGATCTTTATTTGGAGGCCCAGTTTCAGAAAGTGCTGTACCCTCCTTCCCCAGGTGTGGCTCTTGAGACCACTGGGCTGATCCCTTCCACCTGGACTCCTGCCAGCTAAGCCCCATATGCTCCTGCAACCCCTAATTTCCTCATAGTGCAAATCCAACACACTTACACCAGGGATGCATCCACTTCCCCTGACCACCCACACACCTCAAACATCCTCCTTGCTCAGGCTTGCCAACTGACACTCCAACTCAAGAAAGGGTCATTCTGGAAATTTGCAACGTGGCTCCTGCCGTTAGGCAGCAATGGAGGAAACTCCTAGGAGACAGACAGCAGAGCCCGGCATCAGTCAGGGAGCTAACAGCCCAAACATCTGGGTTGGACTCGCAGTTCTATCATTTTCTAGCTGGAGAGACCTACTCAAGTCACTTATCCTCTCTGGGGCTCTTACCCACACCTGGAGGTAGTATCCGCCCTTGTGAGAAAATGAGCTAAAGGATGTGAACAATTTGAAAGCCAAAAAGGGCTATGTGCACATCTGCTGTTACTACCACCAAGCCCTTCAGACAGATGGGCTTCAGCTCCTCCCCCCCTAAGTCAACCATGGGTCTCGGGGTGACTAAACTCCTTTCCTAACTAGTCTCCCTGTTTTCTTTCTCTCCGCCACCCCAATCCAGCCTGCACCCAGCAGACAGAAGAGCTTTCTTAAAACTGGAATCAGAAGGGGGTGCCTGGGTGGCTCAGTCGGATAAGTGTCTGACTTCGGCTCAGGTCATGATCTCACGGTTCGTGGGTTCGAGCCCCACATCGGGCTCTGTGCTGACAGCTCGGAGCCTGGAGCCTGTTTCAGATTCTGTGCCTCCCTCTCTCTCTACCCCCACTCAGGCTCGGTCTCCCTCTGTCTCAAACATGGTTTGCAAGACCCTGCCTCCCACCTGCCTGCCTCCCCGCCCCCACCAATGCATCTTCCCTGTACTCCAGCCTCCCAGATTGACTCCCTTCCCCCTAACACTCCAAATACTTTGCAATTGGTGTTCCTTCTGCTTGCAAACCTCTTCTCCTAAATATTCAGTTTTTTAAAACTTTAAGGCACCATAAGAAACTTTTACATTATGACCCAAAAAACATGCCTTATAATTTTCTTCTGTTCTAGCTTCCTCTATTCTATTTCATGACCCAGTAATTCAGATTTTTATGACACACAATTCTTAAAAAATACTTTATTTGAGAGAGAGACAGAGAAACAGAGGGAGCGGGAGCAAGCACAGAGGAAAGGCAGAGAGAGAGAGACAAAAAAAGATTACCAAGCAGACTCTGCACCGATAGTGCGAAGCCTGAGGCCGGGCTCGATTCCACAAACCTTGATGCCATGACCTGAGCTGAAATCCAGAGTTTGACCCTTAACCAAATAGGTCCCGAGGTACCCCTAAAATATGTTAGTTTTAAATAATTTCTACACCCATTGTGGGCCTCAAACTCACAACCTTGAGCTCAAGAGTTGTATGCGCCACTGAGTCAGCCAAGCACCCCAATACACACACAACTTCAAGAATAGCATCCTAGCTTTTCTCTTAGTGGTCCTTCTCATCCTTCTAGTTTCAATTCATTTGTTAACCTCTTTAGAAAAGGCTTTAGTGACCATGTTAATGTATATAAGGTAAAAAGCGCTGGGGTAAACTACCCCCCCAATTTATTTCCTTATCACTATGTAAAATTATTTTCAGTGCTTTTCTCTGCCTGTGGCTCACCTACTGCAAAAGAATGTCAATGAGAGCAAAGACTTTGTCTCATTTTTCCACTTTTCTATCCCAGCTTCCAGAACATTGCCTGGCCCATAGTAAGCATTCAAGAGATGCTTAAGGAATGAATAAATTGATCTCTACGTGGCCATCAGTGATCCAGTTCTCAGAAGAAATGCATAACTCAATGCATTTCCACAGGAAAGAGAAGAAGAAATCCAATTAGAATGGTAGGTTTCTTGGGGCGCCTGGGTGGCTCAGTTGGCTGGTTGTCCATCTTCAGCTCAGGTCATGATCTCACAATCTGTGAGTTTGAGCTCCCCGTCGGGCTCTGTGCTGACAGCTCAGAGCCTGGAGCCTGCTTCAGATTCTGTGTCTCCCTCTCTCTCTGCCCCTCCCCCTCTCACACTGTCTTTCTCTCACTCTCAAAAACAAACATTTTTTAAAAAATTTTTTTAATTAAAAAAAAAAAAGAATGGTAGGTTTCTTTTGCCAATACCTTTGCTCACCTGGGCCATAGAGTTCTTCACATCATTAAACACCCTCCCCACCCACCCTGCAATGGACTGGTAGGCCAGGAGTCCAGCCCACCTGGCAAGCCACTCAAGATGGTTTCCCTGCTTGTTACTTGAGAAATGGTTCATCTACCAGCTTGTCTGAGATGCATCAACCACTCTAGGCTTCTTGGAAAACAAACACTGTCCTAGGCTCTAAGTTCATGAAAGCCGATCATTCATTTACTCTCCACAATACACTCAACACCTGAATGGACTCACAGAAGTATGCAATGAATATTTGTTAAGTGCATATTGTCTTTAAAGCTTCTTAGTCCTTGGGGAAAAAAAAGTTAATTTACAAAATAATCATCCACTAGATGGCAGTGTCATTCCACATCACTGCACTATAATTTTATCCACCAAATGTAGGGATTGGCTAGAATTTCAAAGTATTCAGTTCAGAGCTCTGCAATTAGGTAAGAATTCTGGGTATTCAAAGAAAGTACATTTCATTAAAAGTGCACTAGGTGTCCGGTAATATTCCCAAATTGATTTTTTAATAAATGTGAGAAAATCATCACTTAATAGCTGGAAGACCTTGAACAAATCCCTTGACCTCTGCAAGGAACCCAGTTCCTTCAAATGTATTTCCAGTAGATTCAATCAGAAGATTACCAAGGTCCCTCCTTCAGGTGGTGAATCCTATCTCAATGACACTGGCATTGAATAACAATGGCTGCCTAGCTGCCCAGCAACAACCCTCCCTCCCAAGGTAAAGACGCAATTAGGAGAGTACAGTGAGTTAAAAGAGCACCAGGGTCAGGGGCCAGGGTTCACAACCTCACTGACTAGCTACAGGCAGGCTATTGAATGGCGAGGGAATAAATCTGTCCCTCACAGAGTGGTTATAAGGATTTGAGAAGATTCCAAGTGCCTAACACAGTACCTAAATAAGCATCAGTAAATATTTGCTGGCCTTATTGTTGTGGTCAATGAAAAGTATCGTATTGTTTTTGTTGTTATAAGATTTTTATCAATATAATTCAGCTCAGGCACAACTAAAAAGCAATGCCCAAGAATACCCGGACCTTAAAGACTTACAGCCCACTCCTTGCCCTCATAGTACTTAGAAAGTGTAACGAGGTCAAAGACAAGCACACAAAGAACCACAAGAGTGTAATGTAGAAATGCCCACTAATACCTGTAACTGACAATGTCAGGGCTATAGAGTAAAAGTTGGTGTCCCTGCCAACATTCGTATGTTGAAACCTAAGCTCCAATGTGACAGCACATGGAGGTGGGGCCTTTGGGAGATGACCAGGTCATAAGGGTGGAGTCCTCATGAATGGAATGAGTGCCCTTATAAAAGAGACCCCAGAGAGCTCCCTTGGTCCTTTCACCACATGACACCACAACAAGAAGAGTCATCTATAAGCTCTCACCAGATGCTAAGTCTGCCAGCGCTACAATACTCGCCTTCCTAACCTCCAGAACTGTGAGAATTAAATTTCTGTCTCTATAAGCTGCCTCACCTATGGTATTCTCTTTTACTAGCCTGAAAACGCCAATGCAGTGACGAAGAGTACCATTCAATTCGGGAACGGGAAATGGGGAGGAACGAGCCAGTCACAGGGATAATACTTTATATTTGTTTAGCAGCCATAACACACATCCCCATACATGAAATAGAGAGAACAGGTACTTTGTATTTTACCAAAAAATGGAACTAAAAAATCAGAGAGGTGAGTACTTGCCCCAGGTCACACAGTGAAAACATGCAACAGCAGGCCTTGAAGTAAGGTATCACTTTCCCAGCCAGTGCTCTGGGCTGACACTGTCCTATCTTGGGGGGAGAGGATATTGGCATGGCTTTAAAAGAGTATGTTACAGTCATCCCAGACCAAGGAAGCAGCATCCAGGCATGGAGAGAATAGACCAGAAAAGCATCCTCACACTGGGGAATGCCCTGCCTACAGACTAACTGTGCTATGGGCCCGTCAACACCAACAGGTGCTAGAACAATCACACAGTTGTTCAACTCTCAACGACCCTGACTCACCTAACTGCTTAGGAACTGCAGAGCTGGCCACATCTAATGACTCTAAGAAGGCTAACTCACTAAACAGTGAGGGCATCAGGACAGATCCTAATTTATCATGGATAACTGCATATTCTTGGGCATCTTCCAGTGCCCATACCCCACACACAGCTGGGATCCCGTCCAAGGAATTAAGTACTTTATATACGATCCAGTGAAAATAGGTTTTCTTTAGCCTCCTCCAGCACATCTGACAAGATTCACCTGAGGAGCTAGGCTACCTTCAAGAATCACCTCCCCATGTGTTTGCTCCTTTTTCCCCAGTCAAGTAGGAAATCTTCCAGGATAGGTTAGTGTTTTCTACTTTTCACACCAAGTACTCAGTTGCTATTAGCTGGCTGACTGGCCAAGAGCTGATCTGCAAAGCCCATTACAAACACTTGTTGCTGGCAGTGTTGTTGACTCCTCTTCATCATTTACACAATTGGTTTAAACTCACATTTCAAAGCAAAGGGCTCTGAGAGCAAGACATTCCTAAGTGAGGATGTGCAACAAATCGGGTTGGGAGGGGTTCAGACTCCACCATCTCCTCTATGTTATCTTCATTTTTCATCCTTTAACCATATGATCTCCATATTAACTTGCATGTGACAGAAGCACTGCATGGTATTTGCTCAAAAACAAAGTAAACTGAAGAATGAAGGCTAGCTTGACAAGTGTCCATCGAATGATGAACGGATAAAGATGTGGTATACACACACACACACACACACACACACAATGGAGCATTACGTGGGCATTAGAAAAGTTACCTTGCTATTTTCAATAATGCAGATGGAGCTACATACAGAGTGTAATGCTAAGTGAAATAAATCAGAGAAAGACAAATACCATATGACTCTACTCATGGTATTTAAGAAACAAAATAAATGAGCAAAGGGAAAAAGAGAGAGAAGCCAAGAAACAGACTCTTAACTACAGAGAACAAGCAGATGGTTACATGGTGGGAGGTAGGTGGGGGGATGGGTGAAATAGACAATGGGGGTTAAGGAGTGCACTTGCTGTGATGACCACTGGGTGATGTATCAAAGCACTGAATCACTATATTGCACATCTGAAACTAATACCACACTGTATGTTAATTAACTGGGATTTATATTTAAAACTTAAAAAAAAAAAAAAGAATGAGGGGCTAACTTGGAAGTCACAACCTCTCTTTACCACATACCTGAGAAAGGTGAAGTAAATTGTTAAGAGTTAAATAAAATGACATTTGTGTAGTCAACTTTGGAGTTCCACTAGTAACCTGCTCGGTCTTCCAGAAACCACTCCCTTACCATGCAAGTCTCCATGAACTAAATGAGAATTATGACAGATCCATGGTTGCAAAGTTAACTTCTCTTTCCAAGTGAATTACTCTTCATGCCAATCCAGAAAGTCCTAGCGCAGGCCAGATAATTTATCTCTTGTGAAACAAAGTTACTAAAGCGTAAAACATATGAATGACAATAAAATCCTGCTTAAAGAAAAAGAGACAGAGCGAGAGAGAGAGAGAGAGAGAGAGAGAGAGAGAGAGAGAAACAAAGAAACAAAGAAAGAGAAGGAAGACTGCTGTGAAGTACCAATGAAAATATTTTTTTTAAAAATAGTAACAATAAGGGGCGCCTGGGTGGCGCAGTCGCTTGAGCGTCCGACTTCAGCCAGGTCACGATCTCGCGGTCCGGGAGTTCGAGCCCCGCGTCAGGCTCTGGGCTGATGGCTCAGAGCCTGGAGCCTGTTTCCGATTCTGTGTCTCCCTCTCTCTCTGCCCCTCCCCCGTTCATGCTCTGTCTCTCTCTGTCCCAAAAATAAATAAACGTTGAAAAAAAAATTAAAAAAAAAAAATAGTAACAATAATATTGGAGGAAAAAAAAAGTGTTTCAGATGCTGGCTTTTCAAATCAGTGATACAAGGCAGGAAGTCAAAAAGTAAAGCAATAGGGTACAGAACCAAGGTAAAGGGTGAGACAAACAGGAAAACACAAAATTTCAGTTTGAAAGGAAGAAGTACATTTCAGTGCTCACAGCTGCCCCCACAAGGAGGTGAGTGACGTTGACCAGCAGTATGTGCCCCCGCCCACCTGGTAGGTTGGACAGCCACAAAAGGAGTGTTGTGGATGTGAAGATACAAAGGGAATCCAGGCATTAGGCATCTGATAAGGGATCGGGGTCAAGCTCCTGGTTTCTGAGGCCACTTCAAACTCTAGGATTTTCTGGCAAGGAGAAACGGGCACATATTCTACAGCAACACATAGAAATTAAACACCTTGTTCAGGATATTAGTGAAGTTTCTTACCTCCTGAAGCTGAGATTCTTTCTTCTTAGAAGACAAATTCAAGTGTTTTTCTAAGACGCCACAATACTTTTCTGTCTCCTTGTCATACTTCTTTTTGGCTTCCTGGCAAAAAGAAGAGAGGAGAGAAAGAGTAAAATGTTTCAGGAATAAAAGCAACCTTGTCAAGACCTGCCGGCTCAATTCCATAGGTCACCATTCCTCCAGACCCAGAACAGCCAACTACCCATCTCTTCCTTCTCTTCAAATAATGCATATTAAGTCAAGCCAACCCTCCATCAACACACAGACCGACGGGTATGAATGTCTATCACAGAAGACAATGCCATAAATACCAGTATTTAATAGTGGCAAAGCCAGGACTCCACTTTCTAAGAACCTCAACTGTGAAAGAGAAATGTCTAATTTCTAATTCAAAGGATGTTCAAGGCCAAATAAAGGGGCAAAGTTACCTATGAAGCTAATCCCAAAGCAGTAAGACCTATTAAAGCTTAAATCGGACCAATCTAGGGTAAGGGCAGATTCAGTTTTAACAGCAGTCAAAAAGTACTTAATATATAGACCTAAATACTCCTGGGCACAATACTGAACACATGTGGGTCTCTGAACTGAAGAGTAATTCAAATAAAAACAAAGACAACAAATGTGTTCACAGCACCATCAGTTATAAAAACAAACAAAAAGGCAAAAGCACATCACTGCCCAAATACAGGGTTTCAGATAATTAAAGGGTGGGACATCCAGTAAATGGAACTAGGAAGGCTAGGTGGTCATATGGCAAGCTGCTCATAATGTAAGGGAAAGTATTAGTATCATGATATGAACTTGGTGCATCCTACATAGAATGTATCTACCTACAGACAAAGATTAGATGGAAAGATAAACGAAAATAATCAAGTTAAGAAAATGGGATAATGGGTGATTTTCTCCCTCCATTTGGGAAATTTTTATTTGCCTACATTAATAACTTTCAAAATGAAAAATAATATAAATATCATAACACACATAATCCCTGCCTTCCCACCAAATCAGTGAGTCACTGAGATTCTACTTGTATCTCCCATTTTACGGAGAAGAAAACTTAGATAAATGGAGGTTAACTTGTACAGAGTCATAGTGACAGAGCTGGGATCCGAGGTCAGGGCAGGCTGCCTCCAAAGCCCACCCTTCAACCGCACTTGAGACACATGTTCACGGGCAGTCTCTCTTCCTTCCACTTTCTGGGGGGCTGGGGGGGGGGGGGGGGGGGGGGGATGGCAAGCAAGGGGGCTGGACAAGGCTGACACTGGCTTGAAGACAGGATCAACTTCACTAAGCACATTATTCTTACTCCTTACTCAGGCAGAACCTAAACCAAGTATTTTTTTGCAACTCCAAGGGCTCCAAGAGGAGAAAAACTTTTGCAGCCAGGTAAGGAAATGCAGAGACATCTCCATTCATTCCACAAAGATACAAGAAGCAATCACTCTGTGTCAGACGCCTGAAGCCACTGGAAATACAAAATAGAAGTGGTCCCAAGCCTCATGGGGGGAATGTTCAAGTAGAAGGACAATCAACCAGAAAACATAGAAATAGCTTAATTATAGACTGCAACAAGTGCTATGAAGGAAATAAGGTGCACTCAGTTCACAGACAGGTTTCTCAAGAATGTGAGCTAAGACCTGCTAATCATATGAGGGACAGGGTGGAGGCTTCTAGAGCACAAGAGCAGTACCAATGCTCTGGGCAGAACACTGGGCAAGCCTAAGTGGGACAGGTGACAGAAATCACCAAGAAGCTCCCACCTGAAGCCCCGGAAATCCCAGGCCATGTCAGAACACTATTTATCTGGTCAAAAGCGAAATTCTAAGCCTCTCAAAGCAGGCAGTCATCACATACCCTTTTTAGCGGCCATGTATCCACGTCTACAAATCTGCATTTTGCTTGAAAGACTACTTATACCTAAGAACAACTCAACATGCAGAAGCAAGTGAGGAAAAAGCCTGGGGAGATACTACTCCTTCAAATTGGAGGAAGGGTACAGGCTACACATTGACTCAAGCAACTCTTTCCTTTGTAGACACCGGCAACTTTGACCTGGGGCTCCCATGCCACTTAGGCCTGCAGATCCACTCCAGCAACCTGTCAGAAAGCCCCACAAGGAGAACCCTGTGCTGGGCTAGCCCAGCTGGCCAGAGGTGAGAAAAGGCCGGGGAACATGAGTCACCAGCATTCTGTGACTTTTTCGCAATTCAAGCTGCCGCATTCCATGTTCAAGAAGACAGCCAGGGCTAAAGAGAAAGGGAAGCAGTTTCTGTCCTGAAAAAAAAACAGCAACAGGACAGACAGGGAGTAACTCTACAAAGATTTAGATAACACTCTTAAGATGGAAGAGTGGTATTCATGACTGACTCAGGTAGGAGGCGGTGCTTGCCTCCCAGGGAACCTACTGTCAGTGGCTAAATGGAGAAAAGACAGAGTTAGAATCCTGTAAGTTATTCCCAACTTCTCATGGACTGACTCTAAACAAATCACTGCCCCCCTCCAAAACTGGGTTGCCTCATCTATAAACTGATGGGGGCTCAGGTTCAGGTTTCCTCTTTCAATTCAGAGGCTGTCTAACAAAATAGGAATAAAAACAGCCACCTCCTCATTGACCTATTAGGATAAAATGAGATTAACCATAGACAGTGCTTAGCAGAGGGCCCAGCAGACAGAAAGTGCACAATAAAATTCAGTAAAGATGATGATGGCGGCAGTGATCACAGTAGCCATGGTGGTAATGGCAGTCATCAGACTCATCATCTGAACATACCTCTTCCTTATCAAGAACACCACTTGCTTCCCATGCCCCGCTGTCCCGTGAAGGTAAGCCTTCATGGCACCTACCGCAATTAGGAATTACGTTTATTTATTAGCTTTTTGTTTCATGTCGTTCTCTCTAGTCACACCATGGGCACAGTACGTCTACACTGCTCTCCATCATCCTGGGGCCAGGCACAGAGTAAGTGCTCATGTATTTTTTTTTTTTAATTAATGAACTGTGTGTACTGAATCTAACAGCTAACATCAAAGGACTATACGACAGGCACTGTTCTGAGCGCTTACCTGCATTCGCTTGTCTTCCTCCTAAGAACACTAGGAGGTAACTATTATCACTGTCTCCATTCTACAGATCGGGAAATGGGTATGAAGAGGTTCAGCTACTCCCCAAGTTGACATGCCAATGGCATCAGTGAGGTTAGGGCCCACTCTCACCATTGCTCTCTAACTTCTGTTTTACTTTCACTGCAGTGCCCAGCACTCCAAATGCACCTCGGCTGGCAGAAAAACAAACTCCCCCAAACTCAGAATTCTAAACATAGGGTCAAGGTTATGCCAAGCTCAGGGTCATGACCTGCTGCAGGCCAGCTACCTCTGTAGCAGAATGCCCAGGAGTCCTCCTCCCTGGCAGCCTTCACATCCAACACTAAATTCTGCTTCTTGCAAAGTAGCAACAGGTTGTTACAGCAACCGAAGCAGCACCAGAATGGGGAGAAAGGGTAATTTTAGCCCCACAGAGGCAGAGTTCAGAAACTTCCACTTGGCCGCTCAGGAGCCCTGGCTGGCTCTTAGGTATTCTTCAGTCTGCTCCCAAAACTGCCTGGTAAAGAGTTTGTTTCTTTGCTTTCTCTTAAAGGTACACAATCCTAGGATATAAATGTAAGTATATGAGAAAAAGAAATGACCAAAGGAGAGGGAGGGGAAATCATCCCCAATGGCATTACACTGTTTATTAAGAAGGAGAGATTAGAGTACGTGAGAGGCAACACATTTTGATGAGCTATGATTTTATTTGAATTCTTTTATTCTATTTCTCACCATCTACAGCCCCACCTCTACCGCACTTCTGGAAAAGTACCTGCTGCTATCATTAAGATCACTGGTATTACCCAAGAGTAGTCCACTCAGAATCCTGCTCCTCCTCTATGCCAACTATGGGCTTTCAGGAACCCCAGAGGCAGGGCTGAGGGCAGAGGCCAGAGTCAGAAGGCTGAAAAGATTCTTGGAAAGAGAACTCGATAAAGCGGTCTGTCTGCTCTGCTGCTGTCTCAAAGCTCTTCAGAATGTCCAAAGCCACCGCCATCTATTATCATGAACAGGAAGTACAAGTCCCAAGGCCACTAAAGTGAAGGTCCCTGAGCCTACCCACATGAGAACCCAGGGAGGGACACTCATGGCAAACTCAAAATCTTAGTGGAATTAGACTCCCTTTGAATTATATTCCGTAATCTCTGATACAAAACCCATGAGCTCTAATCTTCATAAATGTAAAGGATAAAACTAGTAGAAAGTGACTTAGAACTGGAAGAAAAATCTTTGCTATGGTGTGTCCTTCAAACTACAGTCAACCATCCCTCTGAAGAACCCTGACTGAACAGCACATTTTCTTTGCAGACCCTCATCATATTCGTTTTCAGAAGCAGATGTGCTTAGGTGGGAAGGTGGGGTGAGGAGACAGATCCCACTTTGTTGTATTTCAGTTATCTTTCTCCCACGCACAGGCACCTACTTCTCAAGGCCATTTCACGACTGAGTAAAATCTAAGCATGCTAGTAGGTGAGTGATGTTGCCCAAAGCTCCCTGCAGGTGGCACCAGCTGAAGGATTCACAGTTCCAGAAAAACAGGAAGAAAATGTCAAAAATCCTTTTGCTTTCATTGATTCCAGTGAAAACACTTTCCCTGCAGGTGGCCTCTAACACTCTACTGAAGGTCAAACTAGCTAGGATTTCCTGGTGATTTCTCACAGGGCAGGGGAACCCTGGAGAATCTACCTTTTAATAATGAACAAGGGGCGCCTGGGTGGCTCAGTAGGTTGAACATCCGACTTCGGCTCAGGTCATGATCTCGCCATTCGTGGGTTTGGGCCCCGCGTCGGGCTCTGTGCTGACAGCTCAGAGCCTGGAGCCTGCTTCGGATTCTGTGTCTGCCTCTTACTCTGCCCCTTCCCCACTCATACTCTGTCTCTCAAAAATGAATAAACGTTAAAAAAAATAACAATAATAAATAAAAAATAAAAATGAACAAGATTCTCTTTACAGTCTTCTCAGGGACTGACAGAATCAGCCAAATTTTAGCTGCAGTCCTTCGCCATCAGCGCTAACAAACTGGGACCTAGGAGTTGAAGCAGTCCTGCTTTTTGACCTGCACAATGTAAAAGATGTACTTTTTTAAACTAGGAAATTTCAAAGAAAACCATGACTTTTCACTTTCTCTTGAAAAATGTCAAGATCTAGCAACAAAGGGCCCATTTTCAAACACTAGCAAAAATGAGCTGTGTCCCTCCCCACCCCTTCAGGGCCCCATCTTCAACCCAGTCTAGGCTCTGAGTCCTGGGTGTCCACAGTAAGTACAATTGCCCGTTGTCCAAGCACAGATGTATCTACTAACACAAGGAGGCACGGTTTCTACCTTTGCATGATTTATGAACTAGCACAAACCAATTAGGTAACAAAATGCTAGAATGACTGCTCTGGGGTTTGACCACACTCAGTCTTACTTCAGACACTTGGGAATAACAGATGAGCCACTATAAAATCCAAAAACAAGGCTGCCCTAAAATCCAAGAACAAAGCTTGTGTAATTCTCACCTTGGCAGCCCCAATCTGCTCCTTTCGAAACTTCTCCAAGGGAGTGATGAGCACCTCGCTGGCATTCTCAATCTGGTGAGGAGAGAAACAGAGCAGGGGAGTTGGGGGGGACACGTAAACACAAAAGCAATGATCAGTTAAGAATTCCTTCCGTGTCTCACTTTAAAATTTGAGTAAGCAACACTGTGCAGGTGTTGACTGCTCACGATACGTAAACTGAAAGCACGTCAGATCAAAATCTAGTCATCATCTCCAAACACGGAATTCTTCCCATGTGTGACTCACTCTTTACAGTGAGGACCTCTAAAAAGGTAAGCAACCACATGAAGGGAGAGGGGAGCTGGTGACAGGGCAGGATTTAATTTCAGCCTTAAGTGACTTCTTGTAAAGGCCAATTGACCAAGTTACATTTAAGTAGATATATTTTAGACATATCAACATTGAGTCTAGGTTAAAAACAATAAACACCTGTGGACATGCAGTGGCATGAACACCTTCTAAGCCGGATTTTGTGTATTCCTACCAGTACTGGACTAGGATCAGGACATTTGTGCCTCCAGGCCACGGCTGCCTCTCACCTTCACCCCAAGCACTCATCCCATCAGGTCCTGCACGCAACAATACCATCACCCCAAGGCACCTCAAATGCAACAAAACTTGTTCCACTTCCAAGTTTTGGCAGTTAGCCATTTCCTCAGATGCTGGATCCCTGAATTCTCTTGTGGACAACTCATTTCTTATTCTAATTCAGGTTTTGGCCTAAAGGTCACCTCTTTAGGGAGGCCTTTCCTAATCACCAGCATATTCCAAAGCAAACTTCTCACTACCTCACCAAGTGTTTTCTTCAGAAGACATAAGCCAGCTAAAGTTTTCTAATTTATCAGTACACACACACACACCATCTTGCAAATGCTCACTTGCCCGCCATTCTCCTCCAAACACAGAAGAGTGCTGAAACGAAGGAGCACTCAAATATTTTTCATTGACTAAATCAATGAATGATTTCTTGACTGGCTGCCAACTGTGTGACCACAGGCGAAGCATTTAACCTCTCTGGGCTCTCATTTCCTAATGTGCAAAATGAGTAGGCTGGATTGTTCCAGCTCGAAGATTCCATGGTCTGTTCGAAGGCAGCAAAATATTTTACAATCTTTCCTTTTAAGTCATTCACTGCTTACTCGTCGCTCAACTAAGTATTTCAGGAATCTTGTCCCAACAAAGGATTATTTTCCTAAATCACATGTGCATCCATCACAATGAAACCAACAGAGTAAATGCCAGAAGCCATAGATGGACACAGCCAAGAATTAAGTAAGCAATGTGAGGGATAAAAGGTGGCAGGTCTCCAAATTTACTGCCATTTGCCTTTTTCTCAATTTTGAGAGCACTTACCTCAGAAGAGAGCATTTTAACATGAGGGTTGCAATGTTTAACTTGTTTGCTTTTTATTATTATTTGATGTTGCTTAATAGGCTCCCTCATTTAAATCTTCCACAAATCAAGTGCAAGTCTCCAAAACTCACAGTGGTGTGCTGAGCCAAGTTAGCATACACTTGAGCCAAGAGCACAAGTTAGCATACACTTGACAGTAAGTTACATTTTTCCAAGAAAAAGTAAACTTAACAACAACAAAAATCCCAACGTCCAGGCTGTATCTCAAACCATGAAATCAGAATCTCTGTACTCTGTCCCAGGCATCAGTACGTTTTAAACTCCCTGAGTTGTTCCAATGGGCATCCACAGCTGAGAATCTAGCCTTAAGGAGAAGCACCCCCCCCCCCCCCCCCCCCCCCCCCCCCCCCCCCCCCCCACCGAAAGCACCAACTTTCCCAACCTGGGAAACAGGACGCCCAAGACCTTGCCCCATTCCTTCTACTGCTTGCTATCAGACTTAAGACCTCAGTGTTCCCATCTGGCCAACGAAAGACTACAGATATAGTGAGAAATAAGGTTGTTCTGGGTCTAAGATTCTACGACTGTGTTATTTCCACTCCGGTCTAAGCACTGCACTGATACTGATGACACAGAAGCCCAATCTATGCTCTTCAAGAACTCACATTTACTATGGGACAGACACATGCAGTGATTATCAGACACAGTGGAGAATCAGATACATGAACCAGATACTACGAAAATACAAAGGATGGCCAAATATCCCAGAGAGTCAGAGAAGTCTTTGCAGAGAGGTGCGGCTTTGGGAAGCTGAGCTGAATTGATGAGGCTGTCCCAGGATAAGGAGGTAGGGAAGGGGCTTGAGATGGCCAGATACTCCGATGCACATGGCAGAAAACTCAGTTCACAGACATTAATAATAAAATTGCAGAGGAAAGCTGAAGAGTATAATCCAGTCATTGTTCCCTTACCACGGGCCATAGCAATCTGCAGGGTATTCATCGAGATCTGCTCACAACACCCCCCACCCACAAATACTGACTCGGCCAAGAATCAGACTCAAAAGAATCACTTCCCTTTCTCAGGCAGTAGCACGTGCACAAACACACAAGCTTTCCCCTGCCTCCACCCACCACGAACCTTGCTGCAGCTACCAGCCTCCAGATTCTGATGCAAGCACCCAAAACTGGGCCATCAAAGTCAACAATGTCTCTCTGTCCAGGGCAGAAGGTGAGAACTTCCGCTCCGTGGGGAGTTTCAAAGAAATTCCCACATTCTTCAGTATAACACAAATTTGCGTTTGAATCCAAACTGTGACACTTTTTAACTACGTGACCTTGTGCATGTTAATTAACCATTCGAAACCTCAGTATCTTCATCTAGACAATGGGATGATATAGATACCACCTCACAGAGTCATCATGCAGGTTAAAATTAAAAATGCGTGCATACACAACGTCTTGGTCAAGGCTATGAACTGAATAACATCTCCTCAAAATTTATACGGTGAAGCCCTGACCTCTGTGAAATTAATTAAACAAAGATAAACAAAGAGGCCATTAGAGTAGGTGGCTCTAATGTTATAACAGCCTACATAAGCAAACCAAACCCCAAGGGCGTAAATCTCTCAAGGCTAAGAAATGGAAGACCAATTAGGCATTCCCAAGTAAGACAAAAGCTTAAGCTATGGCCAATCAAATAATCAACTTGCTACTTCCATTTGTTCGCTATAAAAGTCCTTCCCTTATACTTCCTGCCAGTGGAGGGTCCCTAAACATATCCAGTTTGCTGCTGCCCCGTTTGAGCCAATTTTTCTTTGAATAAAGTCGTAAAAATACAATATGCCGCAGTTTATCATTTAAAACTCCCAGGATGACAGTATCTGGAAATGGAGCCTTTGGAAGTAATTAGGTCATAAAAGTGGAGCCCTCACAATGGGATTAGTGGCCTTGTAAGAAAAGACGTAATGGCCACTCTCTGGTATTTAAGGATATGGCAAGAAGGTGGCCAAGGGCCAGCCAGGGAAAAGGTCCTCACCAGGAACCAAATCAGTTGGTTCCTTGATCTTTGACTACCCAGTCTCCACAACTATGAGAAATGAATACTTGCTGTAAAAACCATCCAGCCTATATTTTGTTCTGGCAGTCTAAGCAGATGAAGACAGACTTAGTCTCAAATGATCAGTTTTAGCATGGGTAGAGAGGGAAAAAGTTGACAGACTCTTCCCTGGGCCTCTGGAGCACCACCGCTTAGGGCCAAGTCCCCCTAGGGACCAACTGCCATGAGGCCAGCAGGGGGATTTAGGTTCAGGCTTCATTCTTGATATCTTACTGACACAGAGAGGATGCAAAAGAACTTTTCACGGATGTGTTATCTGTTATCTATTGATGGCAAACTTCATCAGAATAATTTAGAATACAGAAGGTATCTCTTAAGAACCTAAAGATCAGCATTTGATTCTTCAGTTTGCACAGTGCCCCCTTTGTAGAACCTCTTGTGATTGCTATCATTTAGTTAGTGCCCATTTACTCAGTGCATACTATAGGGCAGACACTGGGTTAGGTGTTTCAGAATAAGAAGTGAAGGAGTGACCCCTGCCCTTCAGGAGCTCTTGGATACATTTAATGAGAATCGGGGGGTGTGGAGGGGGGCAGAGTGTGACACCTTCGTTCCCACCCTGCCCATGGGAATGGAAGGCCTCCCAAAGTTAAATAATTCAAAAGATCCACCCATAAGTCATACCTTACAGGTACACCTTACAGTCAATCTTTGGGAGTTCAACAACGTGGTCCTAAGTTGTCCACAGTAATCCCCTGACATGTCTGAAAGGCTGACATGACCACACTGTATGGGACGAAGAGCAGCCTGGCCATACTCACCATCCGTATCCGTTCATCTTCAAGATTCCTGAGGACAGTGGCAAACTCCTGCAAAGACTTTGCTGGAAAAGAGAAAGTGCCATGAGAGGGACATAGACAAATGGGCCTTTGGGAGCCTTTCCAGGTACAGTTACTATGTTATGGAATGAAATCCCTTGGCACATGCAGAATCCTAAAGTCAATTGCTTCCCAAGGCTCTCCCCTTATCTTTTCATCATTAACCATCCAGGATGACCCCTGAACGCAGGTTAATTTCACCTGGCACTCTAGCTAGGAAAGGATTTCCTTCAAAAACCTGCCTGTTCCTGACACTACCCAGGACTGATGAGATGCTGGCTGGCTCCCAGACTCTCGGCTGGAAAGGGCAGAGTTCCGCTTAGGAGTTGAAGGATTTCCTGCCCAGGATGTGACCCCTTCAACCTTGGTTGTGGGGCTGCGTCAGAAACCAACCTTTCCTCTGGCACCCGAACTACACCAGTGTAGCTCACAATGGAAGCCACATCTCCGGTTTCTCCCTGGATTCCTCCTCCTGAGTCTTCAAGCCACTTGTTAATACAATGCAGTGTGCAACGTGGTGGTCAGACGTAGAGAGTCTCCTTCACCAGAATTATTCCCAAAGGGGACAGGCATTAGGTGCAACAGCCCTGAGGATATTCAGGACAAAGGTGGAGTCTTGGGAAAAGTACCCACGTATTCAGCAGTTACTACAATGATGCATTTTCACTGCTCTCGTCTATCGTCCCAACTGCCTTTGCTCATGCCCAGATCGTGGCACTCTGCGTGACAACAGGGGATTCAATAAGCATTTGACAACTTTCTTCAGTTTAACTCTCTCAATCCTTGCTCACTCCATGGAACTAACCAAGACGCCCAATGTAAGAAGAGTCAAGTACAGTGACTAGGCCCTGCCAAAGACAGACATCTTGACATTGCAAATCATCTGCGCACAGCATGGTAATCAACACTAACCCCACCCTCAGCCTCTGGTTAAGGAATGGGAGAGGAGATGGCGGGATGGGAGGGTGTGGGTCAGTCCATGTGCCATGAAAACAGAAGGATCAGGCCTTTAAGAAGAGAGGGCGGAGAGAGGATTTTAGCTTTGCTCGCCACAGCACGTGGCACCTCAACAGAAACAACAGAAGGTGGCCAGAAGGAACTGTGTTGCGGGAGCCAGCGTCAGCAAGCCCCACCACCCTCAGCCCTCAGCCCAGGAGCAGGCAGCAACTGTAGATGAGTCCCAAGCTCAGGCCTGCCCCCCTGCCCCACGCCCCACAACACCCCGGCCCTCTTCTCAGCCAGAGCGGTGCATGGGGGAGGGTGGTCCCAGAACAGATCTCCTCTCGTCCGCAGACATCTTGCCAACACCTTGACCACTCTGCCTGAGATGCCAACTCCAGGGTACCCATGCATGATTTTTCCCCTGCACAAGGGGCCTAGTTCGCCACTTGGGATGAACAGGCCCCTTGACCTCCGACCCTCACTTCACTCTGTCCTCACCACTGTTGGTATGGGCTTCTTGATTCGTGACACTTAGACACTTCCTCTCACAGGAAAAAGACTCAGCAAGGACACAGACAGTTATGGTAAACCGTGACCTTTCTTACACACACGGTTCAGACTTACCTATACACATTTCATCATCTGTTTCTGCATCTCCTATGCACTGGAATTTAAATTCATTTAAGGAATCAGCAAATTTCCTCTTCGCTGAAGATAGATCTAGCAAGAAAGAGAGAAAATATGAATTACGGACATAAACTGATGTTCTCACGTGCTGCACTTTTTAGTCGTTCTACTTCATGCAGCAGCTCGATTTGTTCCTGAGGCAATTTCAAACACAAAAGAATCTAAGTTCCAAAACGCTGAACAGCTGTTTCTAACGTGAAATTGTGATTGGCTTGACAAATTCATACTTGTGTTAACACTGCTTTAACCATTCTGCTTCCAGCTCTAACTCCTCCAGCCACACACTGAGTCTCGTCGTGGACACTGGTCCTGGTGGGAATCCACTTGCCTAAAGAGGTGTCAGGAGGCAGTGTGGGTCAGAGCAGACATCAGCATCCATCATCCCGTGGGTGAGCTCAGCCACGGACCTCCCACATCCCGACATCAGGTAGGGAGCTGGAAGGAAGGGCGAGCCGGGCCCAGCCCCTGCCGCCCGGGAGCTCCTGGACTCCTTCTTGTGACCCAGGCACAAGTGACACCGAGTTCTCACAACCCTCGCAGTTCCCCTCACGGGGAGAGTGACCGGCCAGCCTGACCAATTTCCGCCTGAACCATTTTCCTGGGTCACCACATTCCCCGCTGCCACAAGAACAAAGCCCTGGCAATGTTTTGAGTTGGGGTTAAAAACACACCCCACATATGTTCTCTGTAAAGAAAGCTCTTGGAAATCCTTGTCAAATTCAAAAAATAAGCTTCCATTTAAGACAGTATCAAAAGCCAATGATCCCTCCTGAACCCTCAGCTTCTGTTAAGGGTATAAAAGCACCCAGGTACCTTTAAGTGGCCTGACAGACACAGCTGCTCAGTCCAAATGCGCTTAACTTAATTCCACAGGCAGCCTTCCTGCACATTAGGCTAATCATTCAAATGACCCTCATAGATGTTTCCCTTATTGAAGGGGAAATGGTATTATGTTCAAATTCCCAGAGGAGGGAAATATGAGGCACAACTGGCAACACGGACTGGCTTTAATGAGATACGGGGAGGAGGCTGGGACGGCTCTGGCTTCACAGACCAACATCACCTAATGGAATAAAAGCATCCTTGTCTTGTTTAGTTCCTGGACCTGTTCCTTCCAGTTAGGGTTCATGGGTGGTTGTTTTTTCCTCCATCTTTTGGTTTTGCTGGTTTCCCTGGTGTACCTGCCAGTGCATCCTGCTCAGTGCGTGAATACTGTGTGCACGTGGAGGGCAGTACATAAACTCCACCACCGGTGTGCAGCTCGCCAATCCCAGAGCTTATTCCAAGCGCTAGAAGTGAGTACAAGAGGCTGGCTGAGCAGTCGGGCTCTTCTCAGGTCTGGGGCTCAGGCTTTGACCACCTGGACAGCAGGAGCTCCTGCTCCCAGACCGTCCTCCCATGGGCTCCGGTGACACGAATCCCAAGACAGCTGCAGCTTGTGCAAGGAAGGCCCTCAGCTCTACACCAAAAGAAGACAACACTTGAAGTGGAGAAGGAGAACACAGGAGCCAACAGCCAATAGTCTCCAGTCTCTCCCTGGTCCAGTCACTTTAATGGAATGGTCTTTGGCAAAAAGTGCAGAGATGCCAGCAGAGGAATCGGGCATCTGTTAAACCTGGCAGACCCAAGCTGAGGATATCCCTAAGAACGCCAATCACTCCCTGGCAAGTCAGGAAAGAAACAGATGCATCTGAAAGTCAGAACGCTGTGGGGAGCAAAGACACGAGGCCACAGGCAGGCAGGATGAGAAAAAGGCAGAATCATCTTTCAGAACAGAAGACAAAGCCCCCCAGGAAGGCCGAAGAGTATCATGCCAAGAACGTGGACATGGCTGTGCTCAGTCACACCGTAATTAGAATGTTCTCCAGAACAGAATTCACAAAGAAAGGCCTGCGCAAAGAGTAAGAACAGAATAGCTTCTCTATCCACCTAACAATCCTCTGTGCCTCCCCAGGAGGCAAGAAAGACTCAAACTGGAGAAGCATCTAAACAAAGTGGAAATAAAGCCAAAATGTAAGCCAGGCTTGGGAAACCTCCCAACACGCACCTGAGAAGCTGTGCCGTCAGGGGCAGCTACCAATGAGGATCAAGGAGCAGCTAATAATGCACAACAGGGCCTTTGTGGGGCCTTTTTCACAGGAGGACCCAAAGCTATAGCAGGGCCTGTTAGCTTCTGACCAGAAAGTAACCTTATTTCATTGTCGAGTGACACACAGCACACCCTGCCACGATACAAACCTGAGAAGCCGCACGGGACACCCACAGAGCTGGTAAGGACGCGTCTCTCGCTGATGGAAGAATTAGGTAATGAGTACTGCTCCAGAGGCAATACCGGTTACAGACCAGTGAGCACAGTTAGGTAGACTAAAAAAATCCCAATTACTGGAATCTGAAAAGGAAGTCACCATTGGGCCTGAAGGATTTGTGCCTAAGAGACAAATCTTTCGGTCAAAGTGCAGGGAAACACCTGGTGTTTTGTTTATTCAGCATACTCCCTAGTCTTTGCAACAGCAGCTCAAGCTTTCTTTGGAGAATCTCCCCTTGAGGCTTTCTCGCTCGGGGTCCTGGTTGTATGCTGATCAGCCTCTTGCCCTCACCCCAATCTTACCTAGCTCCTGGGCTCAAATTTCAGCTCCACTATTTCCTAGACAGGTAACTAACTCTGGGCTAGGCCTAACTTCATAGTCCCTTATCTGACAGAAGCTGTCGGCCCCACCTAACCCACCAGCTTATCAGGAGCCCCAGGGAGGCGCACTGCACAGGCACTCTGTACGCCGTAAGCTTCAGTTCTAGGCAAGGCTGGGCTATTGTTCCCTACTAAGCGAATCGTGCAATGACAGAACCCAGGGAAGCGAAGCCTGACTACATGATGTTGAGAACTCAGGTAAGTTAAAAGAGTGACCTAACAGCAAAGTGCTCTAAGGTGGGGATCTGGGTCTCTCTAAGCTCGTGCGTGCTAAGATCTTTGTAGCACATATACACCATGATGCCTCACCCTGTTAACATAAAACCCCTACTGTTACTGGGGACAACAGGACACCAAAAAGAACACCTAAAACACAGTGCTTCTTGTCTACAACCCAGAACGGCTGATGGCATCTTATGCAGACGATCACCTTTGACATGTAGCTGCAGAGAGATTTATTTCTGGAGACTTCACTCTGAGGCAACAAGAATCTAACGTGCACATTCCAGTAAGAAAAGCAGAGAAGCAAGAGAGGCTGGTACTGATGTTGAGTGCATGCCAAGCTTCATGACACCCTGCTCATAGAACCCCAGTGTTTCATGTTCAGTCCAAGATACAGCGAGGCGCAAAAGTCAGTAATATTTACTCTGCAGAAAGATCTGTTGCTAGAAAGGCAGAATGCTGGCCAGAGCAGAGAGAAGTTGTAACTGGCAGCTGCTGGGGAGGACAAGTATTTGCCTTATAGAATTGAGTTGCCTCCACCTCAGTGAGACAAGGCAGCTAAGGGACACAGAAGCAGCTAGAAGTCCGGGCCTTGAAAGACGGCTCCCAAAGATGTCTGCTTACTAGGGGACCAGAGAGAAGAGCCCTTCTCATCCTGGAGAAGCCATGCTCTCTGCCTCCCCAGTTACTAACCTGCATAGTTTTAAGACAATTTAACCTAACTATAATTCTTTTTTCAGTAAAAGAAGGTTGATAATTTTTTAAGTTAGGATCTACCTTAATTTACACAAGTTTCACCATTAGTACCATAAGTCAAGCCATTTCCATTTTCCCCTTGGGTAAAACTTAATATACAGGCGCACACACAAATACATAATGTGTGCACACACATAATGAAGGACTCAAGGTAATTGTAGAATTATATTTCTTTCAGGGCATCTGTCACCTTTCTTTGACCTCCAGTTACCATAACTGTATATAAGTACCCATAAAATTTTTGCTCCTCAATCACATCTCCCAGGATTTGGAAACGGATTACCGTTAATGAAGTCCAACTGCCACGGTAAGTATTTGTGACAAGACTGGCCTCTTGGCTGCTTAAAGTGCAAACACCAAAGTCCCCAGGCCTACCTAACCTCTCCCTTCTCTGAAAACCAATTACACTTACTCTCTATGCCTGATTGCCTTGTATTTGGAATGATTCCAGAACTATGCATGAGTGGCTCCCTGGCAAATGCATATTAAGTGCTTAAGACAAGGCCGAACAAGGTGGCCCTTAAGACAGGCTGGACTGATCTGGCCGGGCACAGCAACAGAAGGTGTCTTACAGATGGAACATGCGAGATCCCCAATTGAGAGGACCCACAGGTGGGTATGAGTTCCCCAAATAAGAGGGTTGACAGCTGGACATGAGTCCTCAGGATGGCAGCTTTGCCCACAACTCACATTCTCAGGTAAACTTCCCACTCTCCAAATCAAACTCACTCTCCTCTCCTACGCTCCAACTAAGGGCCTCTTCCTGTGTCACCAGTTTGGCAAAGGGCACCACCATCTGTCCTGCCACACAAGTCAAAGTCACACACCCACGTGTCATCCCTGGCAGCACAGTGTCCTTCCCAAGTGTGTCCGTTTCACCTCCTAAGCATGTCTGTTCTATACACTCCTCCCCGTCACCATTCACAAACGTCTACATCAAACGCCCCCATTTTCCTGGGTAACTACAAATGCCTCCGCTCTGGTCCCCCACACTCACTTTTGTCCCTCCAATCAGTTCTCTCTCCAGTCATGACAGCTCCAATAGTGAATCCTGCAATGGGTTCCCAGAGTTCTAAAACCCAAGACCAAAGTCCTTCCCAAAATCTTGCAAATCCTTCCCAGCCTTGCAAGGCCTGGGCCCCCAACTTCCTCTCTGGGTTCTGCCAGTTCCCGGAACTCCCTACTCATCCCTGCAGCCCTCAACTGAAAAGTTTAGTCCTCCAAGAAGCCTGCCCTGACTTCTGTAACCAGACCAAACCCCACCGTACCTTCACCCTAAGTCCTATGCACCTGTTTTTTCATAATAATTTTATATTGCTCAGGTGACTCTCTGATTAGTATCTCCCCAACTAGTAAATTCCTTCAGGGT